TTAATAGTGAATTCATATGTTGAAATTGTTCTCTGATTTTCTGGATTGATAAAATACTTCCTTCTTCATCATTTTAAGTATGCAATATTACCATGACTCTTCCTGGCTCAATCCATATATGCAACGGCTTATTTAAAGAGACTATATCTCTCAAGATTCAGCTTAACACTACTGGTCTTCCCTAGTATTTCTTGGACTGCTTTGGTTTCTTTAATGAGAACTGGAACATCTTAATAGAGGAAGAATAATTTTACCTCACAGATTGGAGGAACAGTCCTCTGGCATCCTGACAAAGTGGCACCCTTAAGGGTATTTTTGCTGGTTTTCCAGTTGACCTCTTTCCTGAATCTCTGGCTTTGATGTCCAGAGCAAAGAATGTGCATGAGTTTCAAAGCATGGATTGGCCAGCAGTTGTTTCATTTACTCCAACCTCATCAGCTTTTGAGGTCATGGAAATTCCTTTGAGATTCCAGAAATATTGCTTTTCAGTGCTATTGTAAGTGTTCATATTTTCTGTGTCTCCAGAGGTATTTCATTTGGAACTACATTAAACATAACTAACTAGTTGCTATTTTAAAATGGAACTGTACTTCTGTTGGCACTTTAAAAGCTTACTGTAAACAGATGCTCAAAAAAAAATGGACTAGATGAAGTGAGTTAATAAAGTCAGAAAATGGTCACTGTTCTATTGCGCACATGAAATAAATACACGCCTCACTCTGATCACATTAAGTTCTTTTGTTTCCTTGACTACATATGTTTTTTCCTCTCCTCAGGCATATAAACAGACTGCTCTCTTTGCATGGACCCCCACACACTTGACCCTCATATATTTCCATTTGTCTCCATCCTAGATCTGACTTTATTCTCATAACTTGGCTTCAATGTCACTTCATCACAGGCATTCCCTAACATCCCAATATGTATTTGATTGGATCCCTCTGGTCTAGGTTTATCTAGTACCTTATACTTTCCTTTAGGATGCTTATCACAATTGGAGATTACACATTATTTTACTCATTTGTATAATATCCATTACCCATTTTAACCCCAATTACACCTGCATAGAGCGTATGTGATAAAATGGCAGAATATGAATAGTGCTCAGTCATGTCCAATTGTTTGTGACCCCATGGCCTGTATAGCTTGCCAGACTCCTCTGTCTATCGAATTTTCCAGGCAATAATACTGGAGTGCGTTGCCATTTCCTCTCCAGGGGATCTTCTTGATCCAGGGATTGAACCCACGTCTCCTGCATCCCCTGCATTGGCCAGTGGATTCTTTACCACTGTGCCACCTGGGAAGCTCAAAATGGCAAAAACAAGGTCTATTTCACTTTAGACTATGTATCAAAACTTTAGCATAGCTTATTGCACTTAATAGAAGATAGGAAATAAAGTTATTTTTGAGTACACAAGAGAAGATTAAGAATGAAAATAGCTTATGTATTTTATAAAGCTTTATATGCTTTATATAAAGCTTAATATACTTTTATGAAGACTTTTAAAAGCATAACTTTTGAAATAATGGTCACTATATGAGGCAGATGACATCACAACAGTCAGGATCTTTAAGTCCTGGATCGATTTCCACAAGTCTTTCAATCATTTCCCCAGAAAGAATTGTTGCTGACAAAGCAAGCCATCCAAAAAGAAAATGCTGAGAGCAATTTAAAGCTGGGGTTAGTCTATTATTGCTTAGAAATATTCCCAGGAAATCTGTGGTGAAAACATTCTGAAGATTGAGATAGCTATTATTCATCAAACACATCCTAAACGGAACATATGTCAAATCTCCATGGCACATTATCTGAAGGGACCTCCTCACTCATGTGAGACTTAAGTAAACACATTAGGGATGTTTAATTACTTAATCTTTTCAGATTACAAATGTACATTATTCTGTGTAGTAGCCTTGATTCTGAAATAGGCAAAATGGGTTTTAACATATTGAATTCTGTTGGAAATGCTCCAGTGTAGTTTCCTATTGAAGAAATCCTATGGTCAAGGCCTTAGAAGTAAGCAGACTTTTATAACATGAATAACTGCCCTTAATTTGTTTCATTTACTAGTAATTATTTGACTACTGAATTTCCTCAAAGAAGAGCTCTTGTAGAAAGCAGCTGCATCATGAGGCAAATAATCCCTTAAGAAACTTGCTGAATCAATCCAACTTCCAACAAACATAATTCTATTTTGTGTCTTTATAAGCAAGAAGGAGAAAGGATAACATTCTGGAAACAACTCATATTTCAACTTTTTTGCTTAAAAAAAAAAACAACAAAAGGAAGTGTATAGTGTAGATTACTTAAATTGACATAATTAGTATAGAGAATAATTGGGCTGTGGAAAGAAGGCAGCAGGGCTTTAAAGTCCCGTAGTAGAAAGGGTAGCTATTACTGAGTTCCTGCCTCCATCTCTTGAACACAAAGCATGTCTGGTCTGAGAGAGCTGATGGGCTGAAATTCAGTTCCCCCATTTTTGAGCTGTTTATGCCTGTGGAAACAAGGAGCATAAAAACTCACAGGTTTGTCGTGGGACATGAATGAGATATTTCACATAAAGTCCTATGTATAGCGCCTGCCATATAATAAGCCCTTAAAACACAATGACTATTAAGATAACACAAATCTTTGCAAAAAGAAGCAACCAAGCAACCAGCAAGAATAAATACTATAAAAGTTTTACAAGGACTATATAATATTTATATAATTAAAATGCAGACATTTTAAAGAATAGTGAATAATTAGACATTTGTGTCTGTGAAAGAGGCAGAGTATGTGTGTGTGTGTGTCTGTCTGTATGTCTGTGTGCGTGAGCTCATCAATGCAAGCTCACATACACATGATTTTCCTACAGGAGACTTCCCTGGTGGTCCAGGGGTTAAGACTCCATGCTTCCATTGCAAGGTAGCAGGTTCAATCCTGCAAAAAGATCCCGTGTGTGGCATGGCTCGACTAAAAAAATAAAATGACTAGGTTTTCTTGCAGGGAACCAAAGAACTCTTGATGGGTGAGGATTAACATTCCCCAGTCAGTGTTGTTTCCCTGTTCTGGATGGTATATATTGATATTACCAACCCTTGCCTGAAAGCACCTGTGGAGAAAGGTTCTCTTTGTCTTTTCAAAAGTTTTCCATTTTGGTCCTAACTGAGGGGAAAAGAACAACAGAAACAAAGTCCCATTTTGGTTTAGTTAGATTTCATTTTATAATATCTGGGGGGAAGAAATGAATTGAATATGCACATTTTTTTTTTATTAGCCAAGAATGTGTTCTGCCCTCCATCTCTTTCATGTGGCCACCCCAAACCCCAATATGTGACAGTATACTAATCTCAAATCAATTTCTGGCAACAAAGAGGTACCAGTTTCCTTCCCTGTTCTCTTGTTATCACCTTGATCAAGACATTCCTAAGGAGGGAGCTCTAAATAGCATGCAGTTTCTAAGAAAACCAACAAACTGAAGATGAAGTAAATATCTGTTTAATTTACATACATCAGTAGTGTAACTGATATTAGTCTGGAGAAAGACAAAGCACACTGAATTATACATGTACGTCTAGTTTTCTTTGTAAAAAAAAGTTTTTGGAAAGAAACATCTGCAACTTTACAGGGTACCCTGGGATTTTAATGAAGGAAGAGCACAGTCCACTATAAATTCTATTAATTCTACATTGTAATTTAGCAGCAAACATGTTAACATGGGAACATTAGGTCATAAAGGAGCTTTATTGTTTGTGAAAAAAAAAATCACAGTTCTTGACATTACAGCCTTTTCTCTCCCCTCCCCAACCCCGGTAAAAGGGCAAAAAAAGGTCAAGGAAATGTTAATTTGTAAAAGATCTACTTTTCTAGTGTCGATTGCTACACACCATTTCTGTTCTGGGAGGACATGCTGCAGAGGGGTGCTTCTTTCTGTACAGTGACCGTCTCACGCATAGACTTTACATACCCTCTGCAGGTGTCCTGAATGAGGCCAGTAGGTCAGTGACACCAGTGGTCAGATGTCAAGGTAAACAAACAGATCAACACACATTTATCCCAAGATAACACCCTATGTTAGTACTATTGCCAAAAAAAAAAAAAACCCACAAAAGAATCCTGATTTTTAAGTTTGAAAAATGTACAAAAATATCAGGACAATTATAAATTAATATATATTAAAGCATCGAGAAACAGCAAAAGGATGGCCTAAAATGTTAAGTACAATGTACTTTGATACAATAAATATTTCTCATTGAAACCGAATACTGTATAGGGCTGTTTAGAACTCATAGAAACAAAAATTCATATTATTACTAATTTATTTATCAATAATCTATTGGTTCTTTATCATCTCCTTTGTCATTTATATTACAAAAAATTAATACTGGAAATCGGTAGATAAACACTTTTGTGTGCTTCTCCTGCTAACATGCTGACGTTTAAAAAGAAGATAAAATTTATTTTAGCACTCTCATCTCCTCTCATGAATGGAACCCTGGTCTTCAGGATACCTTATGTTTTGCATAAAATATTTCTCATCCATTCATTCCGGCTGTGAATTCTGGAATTCCATCCATCTGCCTTGCACCCTCACTCACACACATGTGCTTGGTCAGTCCTTCCTCGTGAACCATGTAGATGAGAACCAGGGCGCAGAGAATTATGCTCCGGGCGACTTCTCATCAGCAGAGAGAACCTCGTCTCTCTCTCGGCTATGTGCTTCTGCTGATCTCCAGCAAATTAAAAGCTGAATCCCAGTTATCACGGTTCGCATTGTTGTTCTAATGCCTTCAGGTGTATCATTCTTTATACTTCTCCACACCGGGGAAGCTTTAGTTCAAGCATTTCTTCTTTTTTTTCTAAATGCAGAAAAAAAGTCTCCATTCTCATAATAAAAATAAGTCTGTTCTGTATTTTACAATATATTTCAAATATTTCCACTATGAAGCATTCATGAGTCCAACACGGTCAAGAAGTAGACAACATTTTCCAAAGACCAAAGCTGCCAGGGATGCGTTTAGGAGGCGCAGCGGGTACAGCCACACTTTACCACCTTCTCCACCTCGTCCACAAACGAGGACCCATCAGTGCATTCGAAAGAGTATTTCCTTCGCTTGCTCCTCAGAGGTCCGCAGCACTGCCCACCTGCACAGCCCCCTCTGCATTCCAACCGAGACACCTTCTTGGTCGTCTGGCAAGCAGCGTAGCCCTGCTGCTTTTGGTAATAATCTCTTATCCGTTCCCCTCGACAAGAGATTTCTAGAAAAGAAAAAGCACAGGCAGTGTAAGGGCAGTTGCTGTTAAGTTGTGCGAAGTGGCTATGAATCTACTGCTCAATTAGGGAGATGCTGTTTTGGCTTCCGGTTTGTAAGGGCTATTTTCAGCGTTTTGCTCAAATTTGGTATTATAGGCTGGTGGCACAGTCTGCTCTGTTCTTTGCAGAAGACTTCTTTTTGGCGTTTATTTTGAGCAAGTGAATACTCTATACATGGACTATAAAAATACTATGCTTTTGGACCAACAAGAAAATTGGATTCCTAAATCTTCTCTTTTATATAGCAAAAATATACATCTTCTGTTTTTATACTACTAACAGCTGGTTTTGTTTACCACAGGGCACCGTTTCAGAGAGTGTGCAATTTAATTTATTAGACCTAGAGTTTAATACTATTCAATCTGTTACTTAATACAAGTAACATTCCACTAACTTCATAAATCACCCGAATACAAACTAGTTCAAAAAGAGCCATCTGCTAGAAGCCTCCACGGGCACGTTCCTTTCATCTCATCCCCCATATCCACACAACAAAATCTCTGCCAGCTGGAGGTGAAGCACATCCTGATCATGCAGACACAGGAGAAAGAAGTATGTGGGTTGAAATGTCAGCCCATTTCCATCCCTCTCTCCTGCATAATTTGCTATCTTAAATCAGTTGATTCTAAGGTCAAAGGTGATTTTGTCCTAAAGCTAGAGCAAAATTATTAGCATCTTCTTTTCTGTGCCAGAAGATGAATGAGTGATCTATACAGATGAGAACAGCAGATGAAGGTAAGAAAAGTGAAAGTGTTAGTTGCTCAGTCATGTCCCAACTCTTTGCGACCCCATGGACTATAGCCCGCCAGGCTTCTCTGTTCATGGGATTCTCCAGGCAAGAATATTGGAGTGGGTTGCCATTTCCTTCTCCAGATGATCTTCCTGAGCTAGGGATCGAACCTGGATCTCCAGCATTGCAGGCAGATTTTTTACCATCTGAGCCACTGGGAAGCCCAAAGGTAAGAAGGAATGAAGGGAATGAGCTTCTGCATAACAGAAAAAGGAGCATTTTCATAGCAAATCATGACGTGGGAAGACATGTGAAGGCCATGTAAAATTCTGACAGTGAAAGTGAAAGTCACTCAGTCGTGTCCGACTCTTTGCGACCCCATGGGCTATACAGTCCATGGAATTCTCCAGGCCAGAATACTGGAGTGGGTAGCCTTTCCCTTCTCCAGGGGGTCTTCCCAACTCAGGGATCAAACCCAGGTCTCCCTCATTGCAGGCAGATTCTTTACCAGCTGAGCCACAGGGGAGCCCACCATGGAGGTTTAGTACCTTCCATATCTGTGCCTGCCTTACACTAGAAAGTAAATCAACAACAGTAACTACAAATAGTGCAAAGAGCTGGCATTTCTCAAGCCACTCTCCTCTCTGTGTGTCTCCCTTTCTCTCTTTTCAAAGATGACGGTCCCTCTTGCTCTGCCAAGAGAGACGGAGGGGCCCAGCTGGCTCAACTCACCCCTATCACAGCTGTCCCCGGTGTATCCACTGCTGCATTCACAGTAGGGCTGCCCCAGTCCCGAGAGCCTGCATTTTCCATGCTTGCACTTAATCGCCTGGCAAGGGTTAAACAGATCCTCCTCTTCATCACAGAGGACGCCCCCGTGGCCCTCTAGGCACTTGCAGCTGTAGGAGAACGCATTGATGGGCAGGCAGGTGCCATGGACGCATCTGCAGAGGAGGAGGAATGCAGGGACGGAAATGCGTTAGGCAGAGAGGACAGGAACGGAGGGAGGGTGGTGGAGGGAATGTAAGGGAGACAGTGCTAATGGACCGACTTCTTTCTCTCCCCTCTATCCCTTCCCCCTTTCCTTCTTTCCTTTCTAGGGTATGGGTTTCAGGCAGGTGCCATGGACGCATCTGCAGAGGAGGAGGAATGCAGGGATGGAAATGCGTTAGGCAGAGAGGACAGGAACGGAGGGAGGATGATGGAGGGAATGTAAGGGAGACAGTGCTAATGGACCGACTTCTTTCTCTCCCCTCTATCCCTTCCCCCTTTCCCTCTTTCCTTTCTAGGGTATGGGTTTCAGGGTTGGAGAGTGTGGGTTTAACTCCCAAGCAGCCCAAACTCACTTATTTCCGAGACAGGGGTCATTGGTCCTCTGATCACAGAGGGGCCCTGTCCATCCTTCCTCGCACTCGCAGGTGAAGCCGGCCTGGCTGCTGGGCTGGCATGTGCCGTGGGCACACACCTTCTTGTGGCATGGTTCACAGCCAGGCAGGATGCCAGTCTGCATGGGCACCTTCCGGAAGTCCTGAAGTTCGCTGTTGATGTAAAGGTTCCGGATGCAACCGTGGAAGCTGGTGCCATTCTGCCCAGGGGCCTGGCGCAGAGCTGCGGCCACGTTGTTCTTCCCGGGCATGCCTGGGGAGGGACACCGAGTCAGAAGTCAGGTTCCCTGGGGTTCCTCAGCCAGGGGCCACCCGGACCCTCTTAGCTCTTCCAGTGGGATGGGAGCAGTCTGTGCGATTCTTCTTTCGGAGAACCAGACAGAACAAGCATCCTGTCCTGCGGTTCTCAACCAGGCTGCACATCAGAATCACACTGGATCTTTGAAGAAATACTGATGCTTGGGACCTCAGCCCAGACTGATTTGATCAGATTAACCTGGGTGGAGTGGAGGAGGGAGAAGGGATGTATGTTTCTTTGTTTTTATTTTTTGGAAGCTGCTCCAGGCAATTCTAATGCACAACTAGAATAAAGACCCTAGGTTCACTGGTAGTCCATTTATAATTTTTAACATTTGGTTTTTAAAAACCTTATATAGAGGCAAATATCTACAAAATCTAAATTCGGGACACTGTACTTAAAAGTTTGAGAATGGGAGAGGGATTACTGCTCCTTTACCTACACACCCAACTCCAACTTGGACACACACCCCTGAAGCCTAGGGTTTCACAAAACAGTTTTTATTCCCTGACCAACCCCAGGGCCCAGAGAGCTCAGAGGACATGCTCAATGTCACTTGTAAGACTAGGCTAGAATTAGGCTGATAAGACAAACTTCCCTAACCTCAGGCCATAGTTCAGTCCGTTGATTTTCAGAGGATGAGAGCTGAGGTTCACAAGGACCATTTGCCCCAGTCCTGACAAATTTCAACCTGGCAACTAGTCCAGCGCAACACTGGCAATATCCCAAGCTCAGCCACGGATGTCACTGCCGGAAAAACTCACCCTGTTTCCTATCAGGATAGCACCTCATTCACATCTTATTTTTTCCCTTGCTAATTGGGTGAAACATTCATATTCCAAGAAATTGGGGCTATAAAAGAACTTCTTCCAAAACCAGAATTTGCAATCGTGTGTGTGTGTATGTGCTTAGTCACTCAGTTGTGTCTGACTCTTTGTGACCCCATGGACTGTAGTCCACCAGGCTCCTCTGTCCTTGGGATTCTCCAGGCAAGAATATTGGAGTGAGGAGCCTAGCCTTTCTCCAGGGGATCTCCCCAACCCAGGAATCAAACTGGGGTCTCCAGCAATGCAGGCGGATTCTTTACCAGCTGAGCTACCAGGGAAGCCCCATCTATATCTATACACACATCACACACACACACACATATATATGTGTAGTGTGCTAACTTGCTTCAGTCGTGTCCGACTCTTTGCGACCCCATGGACTGTAGCCTGCCAGTCTTCTCTGTCCATGGGATTTCCCCAGGCAAGAATGCTGGAGTGGCTTGCCATGCCGCTCTCCAGGGGATATATATGCATATGTGTGTGTGTATAAATATATATATATATACACACACACATACAAATATATATACACACATAAATATATACATACACACATATATACACACATGTATATTCCACTAGTGACAGTCATCTGGTAATCCTCATTTGGTAAAGCTGAGGAATCTTTCCATGACCTAAGCCAGACCCTGAAATAGTTCCTGGATGGGATCCTACGTGAAGCAGTGGGGGAGGGGATGGAGCCAAGGTCTTCAGAGCAGCTGACATTCTCCCCTGCACTTGACTCTGAGCTACTGGCTGGGGGGCTGACGCTGGGAAAGACCATGGCTCTCACTCTTTAGAAGGTCTGTTGGTTCTAAAGCCCAAGAACCACAGTACTCTCTGGGCCCTGCCTTGTGGTAGCATCTTCTCTCCCATTCAAAGAAGACCCATTCGAGGTCTAGCAGGCACCAAAGTCAGACAGTGGCTTATACAAAACCACTAGGCTAGAGATCAAAGTCTGTATTTTTGGACTGTGTGCATTCGGGCCAGTCATTTCCTCTCCTCTGGGGCTCAGCTTTCTCACCTGTAATGCCCACGGATGCAGAAATACCTAAGACCCACCAGAGGGGGCGCTGTTCAGAAGGAGGCTTCCTAGGCCCCCTTCTTTCCCCACCTGAGATTCTGACCCAGAAGGAAGGGGTGGGCACAGAAACGTAAACATATAGCTCAGGTGAATCTGATGCAAATGGGCCTGGTCACACTTCACCAGGTACTGAATTAGGTGTCGTGGATTGAAAGTCGTGAGTTTAGGTTTTTAGTCTGCCTGTCTCGCCCTGGTAACTGGATTGCTTCCTAGAATGGGGTCAAAAGGACATAATGTTCCATTTCCAGGAGAGGACTATTAACTGTAAATTTCTTGTTTGGGGGTAAGTTCTTCCTCTTCTTCTTTTTGAAGAGGCTCTAAAACATTATTTATTTTTCCACATGCTGAGTCTTCTGTGCTGTGTGGGCTTTCCTCTAGTGATGGTGAGCTGGGACTACTCTCTAGCTGCAGCGTGTGGATTTCTCATTGCCGTGGCTTCTCTTGCTGTGGCACATGGGCTCTGGGGCACGCAGGCCTCGGCAGTTGTGGCACATGGGCTCAGGGGTAGCATTTCCCAGGCTCTAGGGCACAGGCTCAACAGTTGTGGTGTGTGGGCTTAGTTCTTCCGTGGAATGTGGGATCTTTCCCGACCAAGGATTGAATCTGTGTTCCCTACACTGGCAGGTGAATTCCACTGAGCCTCCAGGGAAACCCAAGGGGGTAAGTTCTTCTAATGGAATCATCCTCATTCTGCAAAAACATGTGGACTCTAATATCTGTACATTTATGATCCTTTCTTCAGAAGTTAAAAAAGAACTTCTCCCAAAACTATTTCAAGAGCTCACACAACATGCATATATGCGTGTGTAAAGACTAAAATACAGACCTGTGAAGTTCCACGGCAGGGAGAAACAATTAGTAAATGTGTTCTTTCTATTCCCAAAGTTAACAATGATACAGGTCTAGTTTTGATTGTAGTAATTTGTAAATGAAAATGTTGATACATCACATATAGTTACTTTCGGTAGGATATCATAAAGTCAAGAACTATCATAACTCAACGTTTTCAGGTGCTTGGTAGACTTCTGACCAGAGAACTAAGTTTTAACTGATAAAAACAAAAGTAAGGTCTAGGAATTTTTCCTTCAGCCTTTCCTCTATGGATGGACCACAGCTGGGATTTACTGTTGATAAACAACAGTTACTTTAGTAGATACCTTTTAGCCTTAACAAGCCCTACATGTTTCAGAATGACAATAAAGGGACCGAGGGTCAACACTGAGGTTTTGTCAACACTGTCCAGTGGGGACATTAGGAGAGGATTTGTGATGTGTGGAGGGTGCCTTTATGTGTGGGTCTTTAAAAAAAAAAATCCCGTTAGTACAGGTCTTCCCTGTAGTTCAAACAGTAAACAGCTTGCCTGCAATGCAGGACACCGGGATTTGATCCCTGGGTCAGGAAAATCCTCTGGAGAAGGGAATGGCAATCCACTCCAGTATTGTTGCCTGGAGAATCCCATGGACAGAGGAGACTGGCGGGCTACAGTCTGTGAGATCGCAAAGAGTCGGACACAATAGGGCAACTAACACTACACTAATATGTGTTCTGGCTGGACTTTGATATACAAAAACATGAGGATTACATTGTTTTGTTTTACGGAAAGCTTATATCACTGGGTAGCTGAAAACCCAAGGGTGGGGAAAGCTGCCTCCCTGTTTTGCTAGAAAATACTCTTGGAGAGGTTTATAGCCTAGAATGTATCACCTTCAGGCTAGCCTCTCTGCGGAGTGTTCCTCTTTGCAGAGGTTGTCTACCTTTCTCTCCTTTGCTAATTCAGCTTCTCCTGCCTTCATCATAAAGAATTCAGGACTGTGGTTTTAGGACTGTATTATATTTTTTAAATGTGAATTACCGAGACTCGCCTCTGAGAGGAAAGGGAAAGAGCCCAGTGCGCTGTCTGGCAATGAGGCTGGTGGAAAGTGGTTTTCTTCAGGCTTGAGAGGACAGAGGCACTGTCTGCATTCTTCCAAGCCCTCTATCCTTAGAAGGACTGGTAGTGCTGACTTAAAACTCTTCTTTCCCCCTTTTTGAAAAATGTTATTTTTTAAAAACATGGAATTCTATTTATTTACTTTCTTTGTTGTTTAGTCACTAAGTAATGTCCGACTCTTTGTGACCCCACGAACAGCAGCACGCCAGGCTTCCCTGTCCTTCACTATCTCCTGGAGTCTGCTCAAACTCATGTCCATTGAGTCGGTGATGCCATCCGACCGTCTCATTCTCTGTCTCCTTCTTCTCCTCCTGCCCTCAGTCTTTCTCAGCATCAGGGTCTTTTGCAGTGAGTCAGCTCTTCACATCAGGTGGCCAGAGTACTGAAGCTTCAGCTTCAGCATCAGTCCTACCAATGAATATTCAGTGTTGATTTTCTTTAGGATTGACTAATTTGATCTCCTTGCTGTCCAAAGGACTCTCAAGAGTCTTCTCCAACACCACAGTTTGAAAGCATCAATTCTTTGGTGCTCTACCTTTGTTACTTACTTACTTATTGGCCATGCCATGTGGCATGTGGGATCTTTTTTTTTTTCCATTTATTTTCATTAGTTGGAGGCTAATTACTTTACAACATTGCAGTGGTTTTTGTCATACATTGAAATGAATTAGCCATGGATTTACATGTATTCCCCATCCCGGTCCCCTCTCCCACCTCCCTCTCCACCCGATCCCTCTGGGTCTTCCCAGTGCACCAGGCCCGAGCACTTGTCTCATGCACCCAACCTGGGCTGGTGATCTGTTTCACCCTAGATAATATACATGTTTTGATGCTGTTCTCTTGAAACATCCCACCCTCGCCTTCTCCCAGAGTCCACAAGTCTGTTCTATACATCTGAGTCTCTTTTTCTGTTTCGCATATAGGGTTATCGTTACCATCTTTCTAAATTCCATATATATGTGTTAGTATACTGTAATGGTCTTTATCTTTCTGGCTTACTTTGCTCTGTATAATGGGCTCCAGTTTCATCCATCTCATTAGAACTGATTCAAATGAATTCTTTTTAATGGCTGAGTAATATTCCATGGTGTATATGTACCACAGCTTCCTCATCCATTCGTCTGCTGATGGGCATCTAGGTTGCTTCCATGTCCGGGCTATTATAAACAGTGCTGCAATGAACATTGGGGTGCACGTGTCTCTTTCAGATCTGGTTTCCTCGGTGTGTGGCATGTGGGATCTTAGTTCTCCAACCAGGGGTCGAATCCATACCCTCTGCATTGGAAGCACAATCCTAACCACTGCACCACCAGGCTTCTGGCCCAAGCACTCTCATTCCACACTTATTTATTTTTTTAACCACATTCTAAAGGGGTCTTAGAAGATTCAGTGAAATGATTGCTATTGAAAGTGTAAAAAAAAATCAGGTGAAGGACAAGTTCGGAGACAAACAAAAAGGCACAGAAGTTAGACTGTTTACTTTTCTGCTAAGAAGTGAAGAAGTGAATGTCAATGCAGGTGGCTTTGGATGCAGACAGACCTGAACTCAAGCGAGGTCTCTATCATAGCGTCATAGCTTTGTGAACTTGGACACGTTCTACTGAATCCCTGAGATAATTCCTTAGGGATCATAAAACAAAAAATCACACCTACTTCCTACAGTCTCTGGGGTGAGACTGTAGAAGCAGCGTTGTGCTGAGAACACAGCAGTTGCTCAGCAAATATAATTTCTTTCCTCTCCAACCACAGGTAACTTCAGTGACTTTCAACTGCCATTCATTGTGGTGCAGGCAACAATGGAGGCTCTTGCCTGTTAATGAATCCCATAGTGTGATTCCCATGAAGCAAACAGATCAGTTATCTTGCTGCCCAGACTTTCTATAAGATACTTTTATTGCAATGCATTGTGGTTTCATGAGGATGTGCCTGTCTTCTCCACTCCCCTGGGTACAGAAGGGATGTTCCTTTTCAGTTTTTTATTATTTATGCATCTATTAACTTCGTTATCAGCTTACGGCAGGTGCTCAATAATTCTTTACGGAATTGTACCAAAGACTTTTAACTGCTTTTAAAAAAATTGAAATTCTATAGGAGTGTTCAGATTGTCTACTGCTAAAATTATTAAAATCAGAAGTGCTCTGGAATTTCAGAAATTTTTCAAACCTGCTTTTAGGGAAGGCTTTGAGGGACTGGTAAAATTATGTAGCATCCCAAGGTTGTTCTTGTGAAAATAATTGATGTAAAGTTGAAAGTACCTGTCATGGTGAAGAAATTGGTTACAATGACCCATTCAGGAACTTTGGCTTATTTATCTGTAAAATGAGTTGATTTTATCAGTCAATTTATCTCACTTCAATGTAATTTAATTTGATGAAACTCAATTCACCGTTATAAGCTTTCTTGCTCATTTGCTTGAAATTTGAAATTCTATCTCCAGGTTATATCTACTCCTCCAGATTTATGCAAGAGTTCAAGGTTTCTCTACTGTGGTTCTTTTTCTCTGCGCTCCTTCAGATCTCTGTCAATCCCTCACCTATCTGCTCATCTGCCTTCATGTTGCTTAAAAATAATCTTCACTCTGTCTTTTCAAGCCCTAAACCACCTTTTCAACCTTCTCTCTTTATCATTCCCCTTAAGGTCTGAGCTCAACAAAAGTACTTCTCATTGCCCCAATATAATTTGTGAACTTAATTTGTTCATTCATTCATTTGATTTCATTAGTAACTATCCTATCCTGTAGATGAGTTTGCAACTAGTAGTAAAGACACTCCAGCATAGCGACATCTGACTGAAGCTGGGCGTGTTACCCTCCTTAAGGGAGCTGGGGTGGGTCATGTACTCCTCAGTTTGCATCGAACTTGTTTTCTCATCTTTTTCATTGTCTGATTTGACTTCTAACCAGCTTTCTTTTTCCATACTCCAGATCAAATAATTATCTGATGTGTAAATCAGCTAGCAAGTGATGTACACAAAGAAACATTAATGCCCTTCTCCACCCGACTACATACTTATTGAGACCCAGGGCCAGCATTACAAAACAGACTCTTAGATCCATCTAGGACTCTTTCTTTTCTATCCTTGCTGTCCATCAATGACTGATCAATGACCATGGCTCCAGGCATCAACAACTTCAGGATTAGTCTGTGATGAGAATCCTGGGGTTTGGGAATCCACAAAATTTGGGAAAGGGCTTACCTCCAACATAAAGAGGGGAGTCAAAATTCAGAGTGGACTGCTTTGACAAGTTGGTAATGATTTTGGGGCTCCCTCCGTCCACTGAGAGGGAGAGACTTTGATCCAGGGCGAGTAGTTCCACAATGTGAAAATTTCCGTCATTGATTGTCTCCACACTGAAACAAAAAACAAATCACAATAAATTAGCTGATTCTCCAGTTATGTATTTATTAAATAAAAAGAGGTACAATACAAACTGGACTAAGTTCTTTTGGGGAAAATATACTCCTATCTACCATTAATAAAGATAAGTAGTTGATTTTACAATGAATATTTTCAGGGAGATACAATCTTTTTTCATTTCTTACATAATACAAAAGTTTTCTTAGGTAATACAAAAGTTCTCCCATTAAGATATCGTTGGTTGCTCAGCTGTGTTGAACTCTTTGTGACTCCATGGACTGCAGCCCACCAGGTTCCTCTGCCCATGGGATTCTCCAGGCAAGAACACTGGGGTAGGTTGCCATTTCCTTCTCCATGGGATCTTCCCAACCCAGGGATTGGACTCAGGTCACCTTCAATGCAGGTGAGCCGCCAGCAAAGCCGGGATAAGTGGAAATGAGTACATTTTGTTACTATCTAGTCACAATCTTCTGGTTTTCAGAAATTATAAAATATAATTTATGCATTTTAATATTAGTTTCATTTCTTCAGCTGCTGTCATTCCAAATTATGTTCAAAACACAAGGAGCCTAGAGCTGTGCCAAATATACTCTTTAGACACTGATGTTAGGGGGTCACTGGTCTCTGCACTCTTAAGCACTACACAGTAACACTTACCAGAATCAAACATACACATAAATACAGGAGAACCAACTTGGTAAGATCTCCGTATTTTTTGAAATTTGTTAATTGAAAATATACCCTCATTTTATTTGCAATTTTCAGAAGATTTTCCATCAAAGGATATTACTATGAAGATGATTATGCTCAGTGGAGAGGTCGGAATAGCAGATTAACTGGAATGCTTAACATAGTCATATCTGGAGAATCTAGTGATGATAATGGTTCTTCAGTTTCTCTTCTATAACTTTAAAGGGCTGGGTCTAATAATCATTAGACCACCTTCAATGCCACCTTCTAAAAACTTTGAGAGGGCTTATGGAAATACATAAAATGGACAAAAACAAACTAGGTAAACAGAACATGACAACTGAAAAATGAAGTTGGGTGCAATTAGTAAGTAGGTGCTATAAGGTTTAAAGGTGACTTAATCTAGTACAAGTGTTATATCAGGCCAATGAAACAGGACAAACAAAGAAAAAATAGGATTGATGATAGTGAAAATTAAAGAACAAATATTTGAGATATTGATTGGAAAGACTGGAAAAATGGCTCAAAAAGGGAACTATGGGAACATATAATAAGAAGACTGGGAATACCTAATACTCCCCAAGCAAGGATGCATGCGTGCTCAGTCACTCAGTTGTGTCTGACTCTTTGCGACCCCAGACTGTAGCCCACCAGGCTCCTCTGTCCATGGGATTCCCCAGGCAAGAATACTGGAGTGGGTTGCCATTTCCTCTTCTAGGGGATCTTCCCGACCCAGAGATTGAACCTGCATCTCCTGTGGCTTCTGCATTGGCAGGTGGATTCTTTACCATCTGAAACACCCGGGAAGCCCTCCCTAAGCAAAATGATTGCTTAAATTTCCAGGCACTGATACTTAAATTTGCAAATAGGTCAAGCCTGGAAAATAACGAAAAAAATGTATTGACATTTCTGTATCATTAATATCACAGGAGTCTAATCAAATTCCATTGTTTGCCATCATAAACCAAAATGATTTTTGTGATTTGACAATATAAACCATAATGCACAGTTGTGAAAACCCTTGATGTTCTCTGGTCTTAAGTAGTTAAAAGAGTCTACATGTGTGGGGATTTTGATAAGCTGTTTCAGATATCATCTTTAAAAAAATAAATGTTAGATATGCCAATCAATTTTTTTTGCCACTTACACATTTAATTACCCCAACAAATGACATGATTAAAATCAACAGAGGAAATAATATACAAGGAATACAGGTGGGCTCGCTTCCCCTTGTGGCTCAGCTGGTAAAGAATCCACCTGCAATGTGGGAGACTGGGGTTCGATCCCTGGCTTGGGAAGACCCCTGGAGATTTCCTGGAGAAGGGAAAGGCTACTCAGTCCAGTATTCTGGCCTAGAGAATTCCATGGGCTGTATAGTTCACAGGGTCGCAAAGAGTGGGACACGACTGAGCAAATTTCACTACATGTCCAACTACAGGTGTGCTCAGTCGCATCTGACTCATTGCAACCCCATGGGCTGTAGCCTGCCAGGCTTCTCTGTCCATGGGATTCTCCAGTCAACACTACTGGAGTGGGCTCTGATTTGCTCTTCCAGGGGATATTCCTGGCCCAGGGATCTACCTCATTTCTCCTTCATCTCCACTAGTGATCAGGAGGCAAATTCTTTACCACTGAGCCATCTAGGAAGCCCAATATACAAAGAAAATACTTTCTTAATAAAGTTACATACCAACCGTTAGTGGTCTTAAATATGATTCCTCAAAAGTCATGTGCTGAATAGTAATAGCAACTACTAGTTAAACATACAGATTTTGGAGGCAGATAAACCTGGATTTGAATTCTGGTCTTGCATTTATTAAATGTTTAACTTTAGACAAGTTACTTCATTGCTAATAAACTTCAGTCATCTCTTCAGTAAATGCTAATAAATATTTCCCCTTCCTATGGTTAAACTGAGGTCTATCCCTGTGAAATGATTTTTTGTTTTAATGCAGAGCAAAACATCTAGCCTATAGAAAGTGCAAAGTTAAATGGTATGCATTGGTATCACCATCTGCATCACCATCATCACCATCATTATATAAATAATTGGATACTATTTCAGGATCTTCTTCAAGAAGAAATTCAATTAGTTCAGCTTTATTTTTAACATTAACTGTAAGATGACACTAAAGATTGGTAGAAATATAATAACGCAAGCATACAATGCAAGCACTATTGTTGTTCAGTCGCTCATTTGTGTCCAACTCTTTGCGACCTCATGGACTGCAGCACGTCAGGCTTCCTGTCCTTCACCATCTCCTGGAGCTTGCTCAAACTCGTGTCCATTGAGTCGGTGATGCCATCCAACCATCTCATCCTCTGTCATCTCTTTCTCCTGCCTTCAATCTTTCCCAGCGAGTCTTTCCAAAGGAGTCAGTTCTTCGCATCAGGTGGCCAAAGTATTGGAGCTTCAGTTTCAGCATCAGTCCTTCGAGCAAATAGTCAGTGTTGATTTCCTTTAGAATTGACTGGTTTGATCTCCTTGCAGTCTAAGGGACTCTCAAGAGTCTTCTCCAACACCACAGTTCAAAAGCATCAATTCTTTGACCATCAGCATTCTTTATGGTCCAACTCTCACATCCATACATGACTACTGGAAAAATCATAGCTTTGACTATATGGACCTCTGTCAGCAAAGTATACGGATCTTTGTTGGCAAAGTAATGTCTCTGCTTTTTAATATGCTGTCTAGGTTGGTCATAGCTTTTCTTCCAAGGAGCAAGCATCTTTTAATTTCATGGCTGCAGTCACCATCTGCAGTGATTTTGGAGCCCAAGAAAATAAAGTCTGTCACTGTTTCCATTGTTTCCCCCTTCTATTTTCCATGAAGGGATGGGACCAGATGCCAATGTCTTCGTTTTTTGAATGCTGAGTTTTAAGCCAGCTTTTTCACTCTACTCTTTCACCTTCATCAAGAGGCTCTTTAGTTCCTCTTAACTTTCGGCCATAAGGGTGGTATTATCTGCATATCTGAGATTGATATTTCTCCCTGCAATCTTGATTCCAGCTTGTGCTTTATCCAGCCCGGCATTTCTCATGATGTACTTGGCATATAAGTCAAATAAGCAGGATGACAATATACAGCCTTGATGTACTCATTTCCTAATTTTGAACTAGTTCTTTGTTCCATGTCTGGTTCTAACTGTTGCTTCTTAACCTGCATACAGGTTTTGCAGGAGGCAGATAAGGTGGTCTGGTATTCCCATCTCTTAAGAATTTTCCACAGTTTGTTGTGATCCACATGGTCAAAGGATTTAGCATAGTCAATGAAGCAGAAGTTTTTCTGGAATTCTCTTGCTTTTTCTATGATCCAAGTACTAGTACCATACAAATGGCACGTGTTCTCATTAGTAATAAGCTTTTTAAGAAAAATTTTTGTTGGAGTATAGCTGATTTACAATGTTGTGTTAGTAACAAAGGTTTAATAGATGATTTCTCTCCCAACTAGCCCAGGAATAAAATTCTACGGAAAATAATCTTCTATGATGATTCCACAATTTGTGCTTACTAAAAATCACTGAACTGGAAAAAAATACGTAATAAACTTATAATGATAGCTGAAGATTATGAAAATGCTTATGAGGTATATAGATGTGAAACTTGTTTTTTGATCCTATTTTCCCATTTATAAGTGAAATTCAGAATGACTACATTTTTCTCTTCCCCAAAACTTTCAATGTCTAATCTGATGATTCCAGAACTTGTAAGAGTTACCACTGAACTTAATCCTGTCTGTATTTCCCAGGAATTAAGTGAGGTTTTGCCAAGCTTTTAAACAGATAAGTACTGTGAAATTAATATTTTTAGGTTGTTTGGTTTTACGATGATATTGTGTGGATGGAGCCTGATGAGAATATGGCCAAGCTAAGAGTATTCAAAATTAGTGTTTCAAGCTGTCTCCTTAAGCCAGAGATCTGGGGTTTGTCCAAGAGTTCTTTATTATCTATATACCCTATTAAAATAAAAGGAGTTATTGACACACCAGTTGTTGCAGAATAAAACTGAGCCATCATTGATTTTACAGTCTATCATGGTCATCTCATACCTATCCACTTGCAATGTGTAACATTCTTCTGGGTCCTGATAAGTATTGACAAACACTCTCACTTCTCCCTAGGGAACTATACATTCCAGGTCTCACAAAAGTTGCAAGTGAACCACTTAACAGTAAACCTTTCCACTGGGACCATAAATTGCATTTACTACCATTATTATGTAATTCAGTTTTACTATACTCATCTATTACCTGAGATTTGTTTTCTTGTGTTTGTAAATGGATGTGTGAAAGCTGTTACTCAAT